CCACAGTCATCATCACATATAATCATTAAATACACCATTCCAGTTGTACCAGTTCTTCTTGGTCCTCAAATACCCCGTCGCGAACGAGAAGAAACACGCGAGCATTATTGTCGTGCATTACTAACTTTATTCGTACCATGGAGATCAGTGCATGACCTTTGTGCAGTGAATCAAGTATGGTTTGAGGCATTCGAAATTTGAAAACCATTGATTTCCTCCAGCTCACTCAAAATCATAGAAAATATATAACTCTTGCATGAATGTAAAAATGACCGAGATGAGCATCTTCATCAAGTTCTTGGAGAAGCACAAAATGATAGCAAAATCGATCCTATTCTGATCCCTAACTGCTCTGGGGAAGATCAAAATACTGAAGAAGACGATCCTGAACAACTTTTGAAAATGCTCTCCTTCCTAAATGAGACTACCACCAATGCATATTACGCGTCCACCGGCAACGAAGAGCAGCGTTATCTCACTGGTGCATTACAGGCAATTGATAACACAGATAGATTTGCACTACTCAATAGTGAGTTCATCAGTGTTGCATTTCGATGATATTTTGTTTTATTTAGACCATAGAAACATATTGAACCAAAATAGCTGTCATATCGTAGACGATTTCAACACATTCGTGGTAGATCATTCACATCATGCAGCAATGATTAAAGAGTGGAAACGCGATATTGATACTAGAAGACATGAAGCTAGATTTTCTTTAATTTCAGGTGAAGACACCTTAAAGGTACGAGATGATGGGATGCAGATTGAAGTCGTAACTGCTGAAATACCAACAAGTCCATATAAAGCACAAACTACTATGGTACCACCTGTGACTGCAACTATAGCAGCGTCATTTCCAACGAAACCTGACACCATCAAACAATTCACACTAAATAGTCAGCAAAAATATGCTTTCATGATTGTTACTAGTCATCTAGATGGCGAGAATCAACTTCATACAGGTATATATTATTCGATTTTCTATTAATTAAATGTCATTGGCCATAATTATTTGGACAATAGCGATAATCAGTTACTGATGTGCGTATTTGGCTGTGGTGGTACTGGAAAATCTCAATTGATTCGTGCAATCATCAAGTATTTTCAAGTCACGAAGAGACTCAAAATGCTGCGTAAACTGACACCAACATCTATAGCAACGGCAGAGATTGATGGGCCGACTATTCATTCTTTTTTAGGTGAAAGTCGCAAAAATTACAAAAAAAGTAAATACAAACATTCAGATCTGGCAACACAATTTGGAAAAATGAATGATGCCACGTTAAATACTTGATAATCGATGAGATGAGTATGGTAGGACTTAGTCTATTAGGTCGACTTAATCGAATAGTGAAAACGGCAAAGCACATAAATTCGGATGCTCCTTTTGGTGATGTAAAGTTATATCACAAATTAATTGCTTTGTTGAATGAAACCAACAAATGCGAACCGAAAACGTGCGATATTTGGAACTCTTAAACAGATTGAGAAAAGGACAGTCGACTATTGAAGTTTATAAACTTCTTTATACACGGATCATCGGAACTCCAAATCTTCAAGCATCTTTACAACAGAAGTCGTGGAAAGAAATATGTCTATCCAGTCTTTTCTATATATCATCAAATTTTCTTTTATAGCCTCCAATACTCGTTTTTCGGAACGCACTTCGTACTCAAATTAACAATAGAGCCGTGCTGAATAAAGCACTGGAGATGGAAGTTAGGCCGATTGTTTGCCTTACTCAAGATTACGTTAAAGGAACAAGGATTGAAGATTCACAATTACCCAAAACGATTCTCGAACTACCTGACAATAAAACGTAGCATCTTCCAGGTTACTTACCTTTCGTTACAGGGATGCCCGTTTTATTAACAGAAAATATTGCGACTGAACTTGAATTCTCCAATGGTACGCGTGGTATATTTCGTCAGCTTGTATATGATGAATTGAGTGACGACATTCAATTCGACAAAACAGTTTTCCCAAAGTATACTAAGTTTATAACACAACCAAAATATGCTTTGGTAGAGTTCTCGAGCTGCAAGCTTGACTCTGAACTCAAATTTGATATCAAGGAGCATCTTCCCGAGACTCTTTCAAAGATTGCCAAAGTGGCAACACGAACAACAAAAATTTCGATCAAGCGTAAAGCTCTTCCGTTAATATCTGCCTATAGCATAACAACACACGAAAGTCAAGGTCAAACGCTTAACAAAATTATTGTTGATCTCGTCATGCCTCCTGGTCCAGTTGAAGTCGCATTAGTTTACGTTCCATTATCTCGTGTTAAACACCTTGATGACCTCTTGATCGTGCGTTCTTGTGAATTCTCATCTCTACAAGTGAAGCCGTCAGCAGCACAAGCAGAGGAACTCAATAGATTATACATGATTGCAAAAAACACTCGAAAACGTTTTCCTTCAATTCTTTAGATAATTTGTGTCTTACTACCGTTCTAATGTAGTTATAGTCTATGAACAATGACACATTTATTATTTACAGCACAATTCATTGCTATCGGTTTTCAGCTTTGTTATCTTCATTGTTTGGTAATCTTTCTATAAGTAATCTATTAAAATAAAAACTTCATGCATGCATTAGTACAAAAAGAAAAATTAATAGTTGCAACCATCTGCCGGTATTACATTCAATAACTGAACACGAATGCGCTGAAGCAGTATGTGACCTGAGAATGAAGCCACAGATACTTTTCCTGGGCAGGTAGCACCTTTCATCTGAAGTTGCAGCAACGATAACAAACTTTCTTAAAGCGACTTATTTTGAAGCTCAGTTTTCCCAACTGAGCTTCGTCTGCACTGAAATGAGTCGCAAAGTGCGAGCTAAAATCGATCTCGTTTTGAAAAACAAAGTTTTCTAAGATCAATACGAACTTATTTAAACTTCTGCAAAACATAATGCATTAGATGCAAACGCACCAGAACTCTTCACTCTATCAGCGATATTTCGAACTCAGCAATGAATATCTTCCAAGCTATTCTTCTGATTCGGTGAATCGATAAAGTTTTGACACAAATCGTTTCTGAAACAAAGTGTCTTATTCACGGCAGCATACAGTACAAAATTTCAAAAAACTAATCACGGATTCGGATTCCCCAACCCCAGAAACCTTTGGTCAAACTTTATAAAAAATCATTTTTTTCGTAAAAAGCTCCTTCTGTGTCTACAAAAAAAGAGAACTCAAAATTTCAAAAAACTGGTCACGGATTTGAATTCCTCGACCCGAAAAATCTTGGGATGCATACATACGAACGAACGAAGATAACTCACTTAGCGTATGACCCTCCTTTCAGTCGAGGGAACAATTACTAGTAGTTGCTTTACTCTGTGAATTTGGTTCACATGGTCCATACCATATACAATGATCATCCTTTTTATTTAAGAAAATAAATTAATATATAATTTTAACAGAAAAAAAACAAGAAATCATCTAATTCTTACTTCAACTATTATAAAATTCAATAAAACGTAAAATATAAATATAAAAACTTTAAACCTTGTTGTATTATTATTATCTAGAAAACATGTTAGGAATCTTTTATATTTATTACAAAGATATTTCAAATATGTTGCATTTTCATTCTTTCTTCGAAAAAATTACTATCCAATAAGAACAATCTCACCTTACTTGGTTAAATAAGAACGTAAAAAATAAACATTGAAACACGTATTTTATGTGCCTTAGAAACTTGAACGCAAAAGAATATATCATGCTGCTTTATTTACCATGTGATATATAATTGTGACATCAAAGAAAAAACAAAAGAATCTTCTTTATTTGCATGTTATGTTGCGACAAGCCACAACAGTGAGGTTATCAGATGCATAGTACGATAAAAACACAACAAAAAAATTCTACGGTTTGACTATTTACTTTTGAATTTTTTTTTATAGATTCTTCGTATTACAAATTTTCATATTAATCATATTACTACATGATTCATTTAAAAAAAAACAAAGAACGAAAATTGATGTTACAATAGTACAACGAACAATCGAGAAATTATTGTCAGTATTATTTTCATAGCAATCCAAACTATATGTTGATAACTTTTTAATATTCTTTTTTTTTAATTAGGCAATAGTCATTGTTGGTATAATTATAATACATTTTTACAAAACAAATTAGACTTGACTTTTCTTATTAAATGAAATTTTAAGAATAAACCGAACGTGCATATCATTTATTAATTCTCTTGATTTTTTTAAAAGCTTCATTCACATACACAATAAATGTATCATTATAATAAACGCAAAAATTCAAAAAACAAAAACTGATAGTTTCTTATTACCAATTAAGAAAAGTATAATATTACTTTTGGTATAGAATAATAAAAAACAAAAGAAAAGAAAAAGAATAGAAGTTGTTTCTGTTTTTCGGTTTTTATTACTGACATATATATATATATATAAATATATGAGGATCATGACTATCTGCCTGCCTGAGCAGTTGAGTCTAATATGAGATAATCATTTTATAATATTGAGAAATTTAGAAATAGACAGACAATATATTGCAAAAGACAAAAAGAATCTGTCGGGAAAGGTTATGTTTCTGAAAATTAAAATAAGAAAAAGACCAATATTTCTCTTTTTTGTTGTTTTTTCTTCATTACGGAGCCAAGCCGTTTCGTACAAAAAAAAAGGAAAACAAAGAAAAAAACAAACAAACACATAACAGAATTCTTTTTGTTTTCTCTTAAGACAAAGTCAATGTTGTTCGTTGTTCACCACTAATATGTCCATTTTGAGTTATATCAGTTGTTAATCGAACTGATGATTGTCGTTCATAATGATACATTATTTTTGTTTTGTGACTTCCACTAATAAAATCAAATGGGCTTGTTGTATGATGACTTGTTGAATGACGCCATTGTAAAACATAATTTCCTGGTTGTTGACAAATATATGTTTCTTGCACAGAATCACCATCATGATAAATAGTGGGTTGTGTTAAACGTATAATATCATCTGTTGTAGATTCAACTAATGGTTTATCATAAATTGTTGTTGCATGTAATATTGAATTATTTTTTTGTATTGGAGATGATGGACGTAAATGATCATCATTATCATCATGTTCAGTAGATTTTATTTTTCCAATACGATATATTGTAAATGTACATTCAGATTTTAATAAATCAAAATCATAGCAAAGTTTATCACCTTTTTGTGATATTGGAATAACAACCTAAATTTTTTATTTAGGTAAAAAGAATTATCGATTAATTAAGATGACAAAAAAGCAAACCTCATGTGCACCACCTTCTTTTATTGATACAACCGTATAAGCATTATCGCCAAATAATGAACTTTCAGCATCAAATTTATCTGGTTCATCTTCATGAAGATAAAGAGAACGTGGAACTATTCCGCCAGATGGTGCTTGAAACTAAATGAAAATTAAGATTTTTTTTTCTATACTATTCATATATTTACTAATCATGACATCGAATTTTCAACTCAGAAATATTCAAAATTTTCAATACAAATGATGTCCTTTAATATAAGTAGTTACGAAAATGATTCAATAATATTTGTTTTTAATTTATTCCGGTACCTTAAACACACTAGAAACAATCTAAATATTGATTTAAGTAAAGAAAATTATTTCGAATAAGAATATAAGAAAATAAAAGATTATTATCAGATTGACAAAAATAAACTTTCTAGCAGAGAGATTCGAGGTACAGATTTTTGAAAAATCTGAATTTACCCCTTCTTTATTTTTCATAGGATCAAAACTTTTGTTTATTCAGCATCTAGCGAACATAAATATAACTTTGTTTAGGTCATTTGTCATGATTAAGCAAACAATTGAGTCATTTGATTGAATGTTAGCAAACGTTTTTTTTTTCTTATAGGAAATAGGACAAAAACGAATTTAGAAGCTTCCGTAATATTGTTGTATCTGGGGCAAAAAATACCCTAAAGAACTCGATCACGTTTCAATTTGTAGAAAATTATTTAGCCTATGATTATAAGTTGTCTAAAGAAAATTATTTTTATGTGTCCTACGTGCTGAAAAACTAGGAATTTGGATTTTCTGAAAATCCTACCATTAAAAATTTGATAATAGCTTATTTTCTCTATTCGAATCACTATTTAGATTCTTTCTAAAACTTAAGTCAGTGGAAAAAATTCTGTTGAATAATTTTTGTAATCATTGTATATCTTTCAAAATAAACTATGTTTTAAAGTTAATTTGTTTCGTATATCAATAGTTAAATACAGACAGTAAAATATAATACAATGATGCATATAAGTCAGCTGACATTCAGTCATATTTTAAATAATTAAATATAAGTCGCAATGTTTTATTTTCACCTTAGAACAAACTTTTCTTTTTCTAAGTCATGAGTGTAAAGTCAACTAAAAGTTTTTTTGCTTAAAAATTAAATAAAAACATTTCTATAACATACAGACATTTGACCACCAAGAAAATCAGGAATGTTTATTTCATCAATATATTCAACAAGTTCATCAGTTTTAAGTATGGCAAATTTTTCACGTGTTCGTTCTTCAACAAATGTATTTATTATTGTCCATAATACTGGTATAACACGGGGACAACGTGTTAAAAACATTCTAAATTTATATAAAAGTAAAGAAAAAATAAAAACAATTATTTTCATGTAGAATATATAATTTCAAAGGTATTTTTACCGGCCAAGTGTTTCTGGATAATTAGCTTCAACAGTATCACTTATTTGTGAGATAACTCGAAAAACAGGTCGATAGAGATGCTTAACACTAAAATTTTCAAAATCAAGAATAACACATACAGAACTAAAATAAAAATAAAAAATTGAAATATATAATAAAATAAAATCTATTCAATATTTTTACCTTATTGGTTTGCCAAAAAGTTTTGTATTTTCTTCACATTTATTTAGACCTTCTTCAACAAGATATAATATCTACAAAACAAAAATTAATTAAATATTTTTTAGAAATTTAATAATTTCATCTATTTTACATACATGTCTAATCCATACATCTTCACCATGTACTGCTTTCATAATACCACGTACATCAATATCTCCAATACGTAATATATATATAGGTCGACCATCACGATCATTTCCACCCCAAGCACCAGGAAAAAAACGTTGTATCATCTCCGGAACTTCATAATCCATAAGTAAACGATCAATACAATTTTTTTTACGCCTACATTAAAAATTTTCATCATGTAAAAGATTCTCATTAGACTATTGTAAATGTTTATTTTTTTCTGACAAAAGACAAATGGATAAATGTCATTGGGATAATCTAACATATCCATCTGGAAGATTTTTTTTTAAACACATTTGTTTATTTTTTATTCTTAAAATAGAAAATAATTCTTTACAAATTGATTCTTGCCATTAGCAAGTTAAGAGCAAAAGGAAGTTATTTACTACGATCATTT